ACCATGGAGAGTGTGTTGGTTTTCCGTAAACAATGGTGTCAAGACAAACAAATGCGCTTCGTTTTATTCTATAATCCAACACAGATAATTCCACTGGTTCTTACTTTTTCTTGTAAGCGAATAATAAGTTATATATATAGATTACATCCCTGATTGTCCCTCAGTCCCTAGATAATTGGAAAAGGTGGCAAGATAAAGGAAAGTGCACTGCACTATACAAAATATAACTGTTTATATATATACAAATGCCTTGACTATTTCCAGGCTTCTCCAGAGTACTATATCCCATAGGTTTGTGCCTGTTCAACCAATCTGGTATTAACACGTTGATTTACGTACTTTTTTGCAAAGCTTAGGAGCGACACGATTGGTTGTGAAAGACTGTGGATTTTGGGCTTTTTATGAAGAATACGGTAACCTTAAAAAACGAAAGATACCTGCCATTTGGAAGAAGGGCTACTTTGTCAAACTTTTAAAGAAGGGGGACCTAAGTCTTTGCAAGAAGTTGCTAGGAATCATTCTCCTATCCAAGCCAAGCAAAATATTAAGCCGCATCTTCGTGGAGTGACTAAACGATGCTTTGCATTCTAAAATACAACCAGAACACGCTGGCTGGCTTCAAGAAGAATAAATCATGTGTGGATCGAATTGCAACGCTACTCTGTGCATCATCACAGAACACAGCACGGAATGGCAGTCCACTAAATCTGTACCTCAACTTCATCAATTTTGAAAAGGTCTTCGACAGAGTCAACCGAGAAGTAATTCGGCATCTCCTTCAACACTTCAGTTTTATTGCCACAAAAGTTTATCAACCTCATTCAACAGCTATATGAAGACGCCATATGCCAAGTGATACAAAATGGAAAGCTCAGTGATGCTTTTGAAGTGAAGATGGGTTGACAGGAAGGACAAGGTTGGTTAATATCACCGATGATGTTCCTGATTGTGGTCGACTGGATCATGCAGCAAACCTTGAGGAGCTGTGAGAAGATGAGCTTAAGCTGTTTGACAGATGAAAAGACACTAGAAGATTTGGATTTCGTCGATGATGATTTATGTCTAATGTCTTATGTTGCACATACTTGAAGATGTACAGGCAAAAACCAATAAGTTGGCAGAAGAGGAGAGGTGAAGCAGTGAAGATGAGACTTACTTAAAGTGAACACGTAGGTAGGGCAGAGGTGATGGAAACACCCAACCAACAGCAACAAGCACCAATCACCATGCACGGGAGAAACCTAAAGGAAGTAGTTTATTTCACTTACCTCCTACCTAGGTAGCAATGTTTCAACTATAGGTGGCACATCAAAGGCAGCAAAACAGGCCCTCCTTCATTTTTCTGAAACCAGTGTGGAGATCTGCTTCACTGCACCGCAATGCATTCAGCATAAACATGAAGAGCCGAATCTTCAGCACTTACGTCAGTCAAGTCAATGCTTTCATGTGGTGGCTGAGAAACTTGGTGCGTTACGTAAAGCATTTCCAACGAACTACAGACACACATGAACAGCTACCGCCTACGCTCAATAGTGAAGATAAGGTGGCCAGAATAAATAATGAACAAGGAACTCTGGCAACGAACAAACCAATAACTTATCACTCAACAAATATACAGAGGAACGCAGGTGAGTGGAAAACAGGATGAAACTAGCGTATCAGACTCCACTATTGGTTATCAAGATGGGCGAAACAAACACTCGTTCGCGCTCACTCAACTTGTCGAATCTTCCTCCTAAAATTTAATTTTTAAATCGAAGCTGCAAACAATATTCGATTTGTTGATTTGGTGTTTACAAGGTTTCCAAATGTTGGAAAAGCATTTGTATAACAGATATTGATAGTTATATAATAGACAGGATCGGAAAGACAGCATGACAAACCTTCATTAATCTGCAACCAGTGTGTTGATCTAATGCACTCAACTCAGAATAAACCATGAATAAGATCTGGATTCTCAACACTAATGTCAGTCAACTCAGTACTTCCATGTGATGGTTGAGAGACTTGGAGCGTCACGAAGAGCATTTCCTTCCAACAGACTGCAGACATACATGAACAGCTGCCACCTACACTCACTCCATACTGAAGATGAGATGAGATGAGATGAGATCAGAAGGTGGGGACGAATAAGCAAGGAGAAAGTGTTGCCTGACAACGAAGCAACTAAGCAAGAATCTATCACCCAACAATTATGCAGAAGAAGAAGCAGGTGGAGATAGAGAGAGAAGACGGTTTGGGGACATCATGCACCAGGTGAGGTCGTTGAATGTAAGTCAAATGGGAAAGGACGAGTTTGGTGTCCAAGCTGAGGGTGACATTGAGGGGATGGTGAGAGGAAGAAGTGAAAGGTTATTGGTAGCGGTGGAGCCATGTTGAAAAGGCTGAAGAGAAGGGAGTGAAATGACGATGCGCTACTGAAGCCGTATGTTGCACTAGGAACACGAGGGACAAAAAAATTCCAAGTCATCAGGCGCTAAAGGAGAAGATTTAGATTTCAAGCTTTGTTTCATGTTACGATATGGTCAAGTAAGACGTTTCTAAACAACTTTATCCTACAGTTGACTTATAGAAATAGGATTCAACTTCTGATCTAGTGGTTCTATATATTGACGAAAGCTGGATATGAGTAATATGTTTTTGTCAAGTGAAGTTGCCTTACTTAAAATCACGGTCCAGTCTTTGGGCGGCTCAGTAAGTTATCAGGTTCTGAGGGACAAAATTCACTGTCCGAATCCGGCTCAAGTATCTCATCTCGTTAGTATCGTTCTCATAAGTCACTACAGCGACTTAATTTCTATCACCAGGTGACTCAGGAACTCAGGCAAGTACTTGTGCAATTCAAATATTTAATTAATCTCTATAGAAGTATAGTATATATGATGAAGTGGTAACGGTAGAGAGCTGTTTCATCGTAGTTTGCGCCTTCTTAGTAATATTCAGCTATGACCTCTCGAGGGATCGGCTTAAGTGTCATCATGTCTCATAGTGAGTGCATAACCATCCAGCGAACTGAGTGAAATACGTTACCTTACATTCTCCAATTTCTATCAATTCGTGACGCAGTGCTACTATCATCCACTGTCATTAGCGGGAGTCCAGTCTGTTCCCAACTTGTTCACTTTCATGTATCATTATTTCTCAACAGAACTTAAAGAAGTTCATCTTGAAGTATTGTGATCATTATTTACTCAGAACATAAAATTGTCACAACATGGACACCAAGAGATGCTCCATACAAAATTATAAAGTAGTTTTATGAAGACACCAAAAACTAAAAAGGGATTGAAAATGTAGAACAAATTGGATTAATTAGGCAGTAGCCTCAAAGAAACCTTTAAATAAGCATTCAGTACCTTTGTAATAAAAGAAAAAGGAGGGCTGCCATAGCATGATTACCACTAGTTTCATTTCTGGGTCATATCTACTATTGTTTCAATCCACTAAGTTGCAGGATCTCTTAAACGACTATTCGAAGAGTTGTACAGCATCTACAGATCCTAACCCAAGACAACACCTACTCCTCACCTCACAGCATCGTTTTACCTTCAAAAAAAAGTCACTAATGCGGAGCAATAAACAGTCGACCGGTTCTGATGTACTCAAACAGTTACACTTAGGATTACTTAGTAAGGTCTACATTAGAGTATGTGTAAATGACGCAGTGTATTATTCATGTATTGGTTACATATTAAATGATCATTCATATATATATATAATTTGAGCGGATGTAAGTTCATTCATTGGTGATGTAATTCGGAGTGGGATAGCCGACTTTATCTTCAACACAAAAGTAGGAAAAATCACAATTCTTGAATATCGATTAAACAGCAACAACATTGTGAACAAGTTCATCAAGAATAAAGCAACAACTTGCCTCCACACTCCACTTTTTCATTTCCTCGTCAGAAAGAATGCAATAGAATTCTTTTCCTTATTCAATGAAAGTATATTGACACTTTTGCAAAACGGAGAATCACTGTTGGAAAGATTTCATTGATAAAGGGAATTCACACAGCATGTATATACTTCAATACAGATTAAAAATATTTACTGACATGTTATGTAGTTCATCTTCAAGTTTATGGCTATTTCTGGCTAGCAGAGAAATCTAGGATAGGCGTTTCGTCCTATCTGAGACTCACCAGCTTGACGTACCAGCGCCCCAGTGATTGATGTTGTTCTCAGCGAAATTCAAACCTCGTACCCATCGCTTCAAATGCAAAGGTGTTGCCCACTATGCCACAGAGGAACGATAGCCACTCCTTGTACAACGGGTAGTAGTTATTACTATTTGTTGATATACTTGTTATTCTCCGTTGCTTTATTGGGTCGCTGTATGAGAAACGGCTATCGTTCATCTGTCGCACAGTGAATGATGCTGTGGCGTTTAAAGCGATAGGTATAAGGTTCGAGTGTCACTGGGAACAACATCATTCACTGGGGTGCTGGTACATCCAGCTTATGAGTCTCAAATAGAGCAAAACGCTAGTCCCGGATTCCTCTGCTAGCCACAACCAACTAAATTACCATAAGTGACATTCAGGCAATATTGAGGAGCACATATGCCTACAGAGATGGACCACCTGAGAATATTATTTTTACTATGAACAATGAACACACAAAATAAATGGTGGGATATTATGTCTACTGTCAACATTATTCAACATATAATTAGCTGATTTCATGATGATTCAATTGTAGGTTTCTCTTTTTACCTTCTACCAATGACTTATCAATCATTGAATTCATTGTTAGTAATTTAATGCTCATATCACCGGTATGTCATATAAACAACAAGGTTGTTAGATTCATGATTTATTCTAGCACTGACTGGATTTGTTCAAACGTCAACGTGTAAGTTTGTCCTGTTATTCTTGAAAATACAAGTTAACCAATAAATAAATACTCACACTGATCAACTGACCAATCAACTTACTGTGAAATAAAGTCTTAATTATCTATATGATATAATAATAATAATAATATATAATAAGATTAGTTGTTAAGAAAAGAGCATAAAGTATGTTTAAATTGAACTCAAGGTTAGTTTTAACTGAGTAGAGATTAATATTTGAACGGATGCATAGAATACGTTTATTGCTCTCTTATGGTATATAGATATGCTTTTAAGACTGATAATCATGATAAAAAGCTGTCAATGAACTCCAACTGTATTATACTGAGTGTCGCTATTCTCGCTAATAGTCAAATTTCATAGGATATAAGCATACTGTCGCCTTCCATTAATATGTTGAGATATACTACAGTTTTTTTTTTGTAAATTTGATTGCATTTGGGGGAGAGGGGTCTCAGTGCCTATAAAAGTGTGAAAAGTCTTCTCATTGATTCACCGAACATGGTGAAGACGAGTTCACTGACAAATGATTCATAGCTTCCATCACCGCAATGCATTACACTGTACTGCCATATCACCTTGCTTACCAACCACAATAGGAACTAAGTCAAATAGACTTGTGTTAGCTCTAGGTATTAATCACTTGTTACCACCTCCTAACCTTTACAAAGTCTATCTCAGGTTTTACCTGAATATCTATTGCTTCGGTGAAAAACTTTTTCTACGCTTCAGTTGCATATCGTCTCCTCAAAGTATGAAACTGAAAAGGCAATACAGAGTAAGTGTTGGTACTTGTGCTCATCAAGAGAACGTTTCAATTGCGTTGGAAATTGAACGTCCATCTATCTATCATTATTATTACTGTTAATATAGGTGTAAAACTGGGGCACTATGGTGGGATTTAATTCTGTATTAGGTTTGTTTATTTGATGAACAACACACAGTGGTACAGTATTAGTTACTTGATGACATTTCGAGCATAAATTATTGCTCATAACTGATATGATTATGAGCAATAATTTGTGCTCTGAAAGTCATCAAGTAAATAGTACTACATCACTATGCATTGTAATTCAAATAAACAGTTCTAATATGGTGTTATGATTATTATTTGTCCCTCGTGTTCCTAGTGCAACATACGGCTTCAGTAGCGCATCGTCATTTCACTCCCTTCTCTTCAGCCTTTTCAACATGGCTCCACCGCTACCAATAACCTTTCACTTCTTCCTCTCACCATCCCCTCAATGTCACCCTCAGCTTGGACACCAAACTCGTCCTTTCCCATTTGACTTACATTCAACGACCTCACCTGGTGCATGATGTCCCCAAACCGTCTTCTCTCTCTATCTCCACCTGCTTCTTCTTCTGCATAATTGTTGGGTGATAGATTCTTGCTTAGTTGCTTCGTTGTCAGGCAACACTTTCTCCTTGCTTATTCGTCCCCACCTTCTGATCTCATCTCATCTCATCTCATCTTCAGTATGGAGTGAGTGTAGGTGGCAGCTGTTCATGTATGTCTGCAGTCTGTTGGAAGGAAATGCTCTTCGTGACGCTCCAAGTCTCTCAACCATCACATGGAAGTACTGAGTTGACTGACATTAGTGTTGAGAATCCAGATCTTATTCATGGTTTATTCTGAGTTGAGTGCATTAGATCAACACACTGGTTGCAGATTAATGAAGGTTTGTCATGCTGTCTTTCCGATCCTGTCTATTATATAACTATCAATATCTGTTATACAAATGCTTTTCCAACATTTGGAAACCTTTTTAACACCTAACTGGTAGCAAAATTTCAATCAAGAAGCATGTGCTGACGCTTGCCTTTGAAAGTAAAGGTTTATACGCCGTGACAACTGTCCCATCCCACTCTGTTCACCGATTTCTAATGGAGAATGTTGTCCGAAATTCACCGGGAAAGATGTTTGGAAATCTGTCAAATGCCTGAATCCTTTACACGGTTAAGGTCCAGATGCAAGTCAAGTTTTGTATTCACAAAGTGTACTGATTTATTAAGCCATGCAAAAAATAGCAGGTTCAGTAGATCATTTCGGAAAACAGCATACTAACTGCCTGGAAAGATAAAAGGATAGTCCCCGTACCTAAGACTGTGACTCCAGGTCCATGTCTGAAGCTCCATCAGATTTCACTCACTTCTACGCTCTTGAAAATAATGAAGCAGTTAATAATGCCAGTGTTCAGACTTTCGTTAAAGGTTTTCGGAGGACCTAATTAGTTTACATACAAAAGCAAAAGAAGCACTTTGGATATCATCACTGTCTCACATCACAATGTTGCATATACTCTTGATAAAAATGTCAAATATGTTAGGTGTTTCTTTTTAGACTGAACTTCAGCATTTGATTCTGTCTCATGGCCTGTTTTTCTGGACAAGCTGGAAGGGACAAATACCGGAGCCTGAAAAATCAGCTGGTCGTAATACTATTTCTCTGAAAGCAATATAACGTTCAACGACGGAAGCCCTCCACCTCATTGCTCTCTATGACTGGCGTTCCCGAAGATGCCATCCTTTACCCGGGTCTTTGCTTTTTCTTTCTGTATGACTTACCACATTCAGCCAGCATCAACTTTATCAAATATCCTGATGACCCTTGCAGTTTCTGCAAGTCTCCGCCTCAAGAGATTGTTCGTAACTAGGTGATTCTCTGTCTACTGTTAGGCAACAGTCCTCCGAGAATAGTCTTATGCTTAATTCTTCAAAATTTCAAACTATAAACTTCAGTAATCGAGGTTAACATAACGTATGTAAACCGCTTGGTTCTCATGATTCCCGTTCTGTTGATGGTTGTGCATTAAGGAATGTTACAATCGGGATTTATCTCGTCATGTACTTCTTTTGGAACTTTCTTGGTCCTTCCATATCTTACTAACTTCCAAAAGAATTTTCCACCTAACTATCTATAAAAGAAAATCTGAGAGTATCGGATATGACTCGGTCTCTTCTCTTGTGTTTCATAAACTCCTGCATCTCACCTATTCTCCCACAGCGTTTCCTTTCATTCTGCCGATCGACTGGAAGAAGGGCTACCTTGTCAAATAAGGACGACACAGGTATTTGCAGAAATTGATGCAGAATCATGCTCCTGTCCACACCAAGCAAAATATTATGTCGCATCATCCTGGAGAGAATAAAAATGCACTGGATTCCAAATTACTACCGGAAAAGGCCAGCTGGCTGCATTTAGCAAGTACAAATCATGTGCGGATCAAATTGCGATGCTACGCTATGCATCATCATACAACAGAGTATAGAACGGCAGTCAACTCTCTACCTCAACTTCATCGCTTTGAGAAGGCCTTCGATAGAGTCGACCAAGTTGTAATTTGGTATCTCCTTCAACACTACAGAATACCACAATCCTTTATAAACCTCATTCAACAATTACCTATATGCTATATGACGATGCCACATGCCGAGTGATTCACAATGGGAAGCTCAGTGGTGTCTTTGAAGTGAAGACAGCCTGACAGATAAGACAAGGTCACCTACTATCATCGATTATCTTCCTGATTGTGATCGACTGGATTATGCAGCAAACCGTGAGGAGCAGCGAGAAGACGGACATATGCTGGACCGATTAAGAGATTTGGATCTCACCGATGATGTATATCTAATGTCGCAGAAGCTTGAAGATGTGCATGCAAAAACCAACAAGTTGACAGAAGAGGGAGGGCAGAGAAGACGGGATTTCAAGTGAACGTGCAGAAGACAAAGGTGATGAAGATACCCAACCAACAATAACAACAACAAGCACCAACCACCGTGAACGGGAGAAACCTGAATGAAGCAGTCTGTTTCACTTATCCTTTATTTTTCCTGGGTTGCTGGAAAAAAACTATGCTATTTTGCGTAGAAATTTTAAGATTGTCAACAGAATCAGTGATATACCTCTAAACCTTCTAATTGAAAATGTTACGGACAAACATGTAAACTCATGTAATCAACTGGCAGGACTTATTTTATCAGATGACTGGCATCCTCTTAGCTCAAAGCTCTCTGCGATTCGGTCATCAGAAAAGATCAGGAGCAAGCATACAAGACTTTATCAAAAATTTACATTACTGTATTTAGATGGTCTCCTGTGTGACTAAGAAAGTATTAGAAATGAACCAACTGATCAACTTCTATAGAGTATTCCCGAAATATCTTTCAGAATAAAGCCATTATTGTGATTACTATTAAAAGGATTAACAATATTGTTCTACTTAACCCTAAGACTTCTGAATAGCAAGCAACTATGATTCTATTTGCAATGAAAGATATGGAATGTAAACTTTTCAAACTGCGTTGTTCTGTTATATAGTTAGTTAGTTCATTCAGGTAAAATACTCATATTCTAGTCAGTTACTGTCAAAGTGAATAACCTTTGCAGTTCAAAAAAGTTAACCGTACATGAGTGAAGCAACAAGCTTTGAATGGTTCTTCATTGGATAGATGTCCGTCACATGAAATAGGTTTCCTTTACAGTAACGATTTCAAAAAATCCAATCTTCATAGAGATATTTAACTTCTTTTAAGACCAAAAGTAACAAAGAATTATGAGGTTAATCTCTAGGTAAGTATAATACTAATACATCCATCGAAATTCACCAATATCACCCTTGAAGACAAAGTATACAATGGATAAGTGAGGACGAGAATAGTTTAACTTCGAGATAGTATTTATCATGAACTGAAATCAGTTGAAAACTTCCGAGCACTGGACAACTATTTCGTCCTAGTGCAAGATTCCTCAGTAATCCAGATCCATATTTAAGGATTAACTAAGTTGAGTGTGAAGAGCAGTGTTTACCGATTGCATTATATGATGATGGGATTAGATCACAAAATTGACATTGGATAGCAATTCAATAGCTGAATAGTAACACGTTAATTACGAGTGTTGACATTTTTGGGTTACAGTCTCATTATAGATGAGAAGGCTATCTAGCTCATCGAAGTTTTCAGTGGTTCTCCAATCAACATCATTAAGCGATAAATACTACCTTAAAAACCATTTAGCTTAGTATATGATCCACTAGATTAACATAAATGTTACTAACCCATAAACAAAATTGTTATTATATCAATTGTAATTTTCGACGAGAAAAAGATTCGACAAAACAATAAGAAGACGTAAATTGTCTCAACCGTGTAATGTATTTGCGTAACACATTTTGAACTATCTGATCACACACGTACTTGTCATACGTATTTATATAAAAATTCATAAAGATAAGGGGTGAGAAAATAAAAAGAGGTCAGGTAGGAAGGCTGAATTAAAGGCAGAATAACAATGAAACTCAATAGTGCATCGAACTTGGCTTTCAATAGTTGAATTTATCAAGGTAGATTTAATATGACAACAAATTGTTTATGAACACACAAAGGCGGTCCCAACTTCCTAATATCTAAAGCCTCAACAAACTTAAGGTTCCCTCCCCAACACGTTTTGTAAATAGGTGTAAATGAAGTAGCCACATCAATCCTGTGACCTGTCTCAACGATATTTCTGGCAATCGAAAAACTTGTACGTCTGCTACAAAGTTTACGGGTTCAGGTGATTTGATTTGCTTCTGAAGCTACTCTGGAATATGTTCCGAGGCCTTTACTTGCATGGATGTATGAGTCCTCCTTATGTGTGTGTCACCACACGTACATTTGAACTGGTAGATACAATGGGATATGACATTGTCGTTCACATGCTGTGGAGGTTTGGAGGAATATATGAGCTTGGTGGTCCCTATTAATCGAACTCTGGGTACATAGTAAGTCCTCTAACAGCAGCGTTAATTCTCTGCTTAAGGATTGAACTATGAGACGCACCTTTGCACGCAAGACTGGTAGAGACATCCTTCTTTGGGACGAACTGAAGATCTGACTTTGGCACTCTGATGATTTTGTTCTGCCTGCTAAATGTTGATGGATAGTTATTTTCCAACAGAATATCAGTTAGTGTTCCTCTTTCATCTTCTAAAGTATCCTCGTGAATATTCCTTGAATTCTACTGAAAAATCACCTTACCAATGTTCGCTTGTACTGAACTGGTCGAAAGCTATGGTAATTCAAATATTGCCCTGTCCATGTAGGTTTTCTGTAGATAGATTGACTTATGGATCCATCCTGCCTTCGACTAATTAATATATCAAAGAACGGCAAAACAGTCATCTTCCTCTCTTCTACGCATGTCAAGCATATGCTATTCTGTACTTCGTTCAGTCGGTCTAGAATTGAAGTAGACTGATTGAAGTTTTCACAAATGATCAGGATATCGTCAACATATCTTCGATACAGATAGGCTTGGTCTATTAAGGTTAAATTTTAATGCCTAATTATCTAATTAGAACCTGAACTGATTTGTCTTTGTTTACATAAGTATTATTGATGACATAATGTACCACCGGATAGAACACCCGTGTTCTTCCTGCAAAATAGCCTTACAGTGACCTCAATTATTATGATGATAATTGTTACAACGATAATTATGATAAAGTTACTTGTTCATTCATCTCATGTGTTTCTATAATTGTTTTCAGATTCGTAGACTTGAAAATGAAATAGTCTGTATATCATTGAAAATATTATGCACTAATATCCATACGAAACCTTGTAGACTAACTTAGACCTTGTAACTAACACCAATTGGATCTACTGAATTTACTTGTCCACAGACTTATACTTGACAAAATCCTTCTGAAAAACAATTTCATTGTTGAATAATCAAATTTCCCCTTCAATGAAAATGTGTACTAATTGGTTGTAACTAACATTAGAGAAATGATAAGATAAAATAAAACAAAAGGATTAAATGTATCTACAAGAAATTGACTGATCCCGCCCCCTCAAAAAAATGCAAAGAAGTAACAGAAGACAAAATAATAATTTGTTGACAATTCGGTAAGTCTTTACTCGTCTACCTTTATTTCCAAACTTTATTCAAAATTATACTAACTATTGTCATCGTTATGTAGAATTTATTGTTTTTAACAAGTTGAACACTGATACTGGATGAAACAAGAACTTGGATTCGAACTAGCAGCCATCAAGTTATCTCTGCCTAAATTTCTACCAACTGAAATGTAAGACACAGCTATTGATCATGTCTTAAATTGACTTCTTACTATTTAGACGCTACAATCTATTTTTACTGATTTATTAGATTTATCACACAGTGAATGAACAGTATTGTTTACTGGATTACGTTTCGGATACAATATATTGTCCATAGTCATATCAAGATAACTACACAGCTTTCAGATATCCTTTGTGTAGTCGTAATTTTCTCGTCTCTTTGTGAGATGGGCAGTAAGATTTTCCATATATCCCGAACAGATGCTGAGTCATTCCTGTTCCATGTATTTCGTGCTGGTTGATTCGATAAACAAAGATTCAATTATCAATCAATCTCTCCCTCCACTCTGTTATGTTAGTTTTAAGAATTTTCACCCTGTCCCATCCTATTGTGTGGTTGTGTGTCATTACATGTATAGCTATGGCTGAGCTTTTTTCTAAATTCCTTACCTTATTTAGAATCTACCAATTTTGACCTAGCTAAGTTTTTGTGTTCCGATAGCCTAATTGATCCTGGTCGACTAATTTGACTGACCTATGTATTTGACCTCGCAATCGTTGCAAGGGATTTGGTAAGTTATTCTGCCTTATTGGGTCAATAGGATCTTTTAGCCTACAAAGCTTATTTCGAAATGAGTTTGTAGGTTTAAATGCCACTCTAATCCCAGCTAGCCAGCCAGCCAGCTAGCCAGCCAGCCAGCCAGCCAGCCTTATTGAGAATTCTACGTAGTGTTTCTGAAGTGCCTTCTTTGTATGGTAGTAAGGTGGAGGTTTTGAATTCTCTATTCACAGTATTGCCGCTAATATTATTAACATCATTATTACTATTATTGTTGTTGTTATGACTACTATTATTACTACTATCAATGACTGTGTTACTGATATTTTTTTACATTTCCTAAGGAGCATATCAATTAATTTGGGAGGGTAATTGTTAATGATTAAGGCGTCTTTAATGTATCTGGTTTCTTGTTTTAGATCTTCTGTTTTACTAGTAAGTTTTTTGGCCCTGTTACTCAGACACTTTACTAAGCCAAATTTAACTGATATAGGGTGAGACGATATGAAGTCTAAGTAACGATTTGAATGTGAAGGTTTCCTGTAGACACTAATGTCTAAACTCCCATCTTATTTCCGTTTTACTAGGCAATCCAACATCGCTAATTCACCTTCACTATTTTCTAATTCATAGGTAATTGGATTGCGTTGAATACTGAGTTTATATGTTTGAAGAAATTTATAGATGTGTTCCGATTTCAACAGTGTAAAAATGTCCACGTAGCTAAACCATATGTTTGGAGCCTGAGAGAATTTATCTACAGCCATCCGTTCCCGACTATCCATAAATATGTCAGTCACAATAGGGGATATTGGTGATCCCATGGAAACTCCTTCTATTTGTTTGCATATTTCATTCTGAAACCTCAATATTGTGGAAGTTAGGCATAGCTCTACTCCTATTATGATATCAACTATTAGTACCTTAATTCGTAGTGTCAGCTAGAATAAGTCAATAAAAATGGAATTACATCCCACCACAGTGCGGACCAAATGGCAACGCTTCGCATCATCATAGAATAGAGTAGAGAATGGCAGTCAACTCTACATCTCAACTTCATCCTCTTTGAAAAGGCCTTCGACAGCGTCGACCGAGAGGTAACTTGCAAACTGCTTCATTACTACGGAACACCGCAAACCTTTATCAGCCTCATTCAACAGCAGCTATATGAAGACGCCACATGCCAAGTAATTCACAATGCGAAGCTCAGTGATGCTTCTGAAGTGAAGTGAAGACAGGAGTGAAACAAGGTTACCTACTACCCCCCATGATATTCCTGATTGTGGCCGACTGGATCATGCAGCAAACAGTGAGGAGCTGTGAGAAGAGGGGAATACGCTGACTGGACTGCGGAAAACAACATAGAAGATCTGGATTTCGCCAGTGATGACTTGTGTTTGATGTCACACAAACTTGATGATCTACAAGCGAAAACTAACAAGTCGGTAGAAGAGGCAGGGCAGGGCAGCGAAGACGGGACTTCAAGTGAATATAGAGAAGATAGAGGTGATGAAGATACCGCACTAACAACTCCAACAACAACAACAAACTCCAATCACCATGAACGGGAGAAACTTGAAGGAAGTAACCTCCTTCACCTATCTACGCAGCACTGTTTCAACTACATGTGGTTGTGGCACCGACGAGGATGTCAAGACCAGTCAGAATCAGAAAAGCAAGACAGGCGTTCACTAGCCTGAAACCAGTGTGGAGATCTACTCGACTGCACTCAGCATGTGGAATAAGATGAGGATTTTCAACACCAATCCAATCAAGTCAGTGCTTCTATGTGATGGTTGGGAGACTTGGTGTGTTACGAAAAACACTTCAAACAAACTACAAATATTCATCAACAACTGCCTATACTGGCTCGATACTGAAGATCAGATGGCCAGAATAGTAAGAATAAGCAACAAGGAACTGTGTCCTGGCAACGAACCAACGAAGCAAGAGGCTATCGTTCGACAAATATGCAGTGGAGTGAAGTGGAGATGGATTGAATTGGCGTACACTGGGAAGGCCGACTGGGGACATCACGTGGCAGGCCAGGCCATGCCCTCGAGTGGAACCCAGATGGGAAGCGACGAATTATGCATCCTAGTTGAGGGTGACATGGAGGAGATCGTGTGAGGAGGAAATGAGAGGTTGTGGGCTGTTGTGGAGCCCGATCCGAAGGATTTCGGAGAACAGAGTGCAGTGGAGACGTTCTACTGAAGCCGTATGTTCGATTAGGAACCCAAGGGACTAATAATAATATATACTAATATACAGTGCACAAGTTTTACTCTTATATTAACGCTTCGATCTGGTTGATTTTAAATACTCATTTGGTTATCAGAACACTGGATTCACTAATCCATGTTTCTTTTAAGTTTTAGTGATGACAGGTACTCTGATCCTTTTATGAGTCTACTGACTGTGGTTATTACAAATATCGTAATTGTCCAATGATCACTTTTATCTAATTCAGATCGGTGTGGACTAGCACGAGAAGATTAAACGAGGAATTCTATCTGATTGATGAAGTACTGGTGTGTTGTTCAGTCAGTCTGTCAAAAACAGTTAATGACTATAACAGCTTAAAATACCTACTGTTTCAAGTCAGATAAAGTGCTTTCGTATTTGCACCAAGATTAGCATTTCTATCATAGTATAAACCTTGACCAAGAAGTTTAAAATCCACCAGACCGAGGAAGCACTAAGCAAAAATTACCGACCTCCATCTACTTAATTAACCTTATGGTGCTTCCAATCTGCATGGACCTTATGTAGCTTAAAGATCCAAGCAGTTTGTGATGCACTTTATTTTTATTTCCTCTTTTTATTGATTCGAACTAAATAACTGACTGTTTTCAGGGAGTTAAAATTAGTGTGACCAACAGAAGATCTGTCAGCACTCAGGACTGAATAAAATGAATTTGGTTACCATCAAGTGACCAGACACTTTATCCATTCCAGTCCTACAGGACACCATTCCCAACTTGAATAACAGTATTAATGTCTCTGACTGTAAAACTGTTTATCATACGTCCGAGTCTTGCAAGAGATATCATTTACCTAGAGGTTGCAAACACACCTTGCTGACGAGGACTAACGAGCACAAAAATGAAGTTGAACAAGGCTTCCTGTTTTATGTTTTCTACCGTCTAACATACCGAAATCCTCAGTAGCCCTTAGAGAATATGTAAATAATGATTTTTGTTAAACTTATCAACTTGTCAAAAAGGTTGAACAATACTTTAAGCACCTTTGTTTCCAAGAAAATATCGTGGACATCGTGAATCGCTTCTTAGTGGGGTGTAAAAGTGTTTAGTGGATGTGAAAGGGACATGGCCATCATCTCTTACCGACAACTAAAAAGAATAATGATTACCAGTCGTGATTCAGGATAAGGTTAAGTCAAGTAGCTTGATAATTCGTTTTGAATACCTTGGATTATCAGTTGCCTTCATCACTGGGGGCTGAAGAATGACACTGATAGTGTTTAAGTCACCGGATTGTGTTCTCATCGAGATTTCAGGACCACCTCTCGAAGCTAATCACTAATAAGCACTAGGTCAATCTAATTTGGGAGTTAATGGGGATTTATTGATTTTTCTGGTTGGTATTCATCAAGGACCGACAGCCAGGTTTCGGTGTATCGTGAACGGACAAAAGTAGGAAATATAGACAAGTGGATTCCGAACCACTGGCTCAATGGTAACGTACTAGCTACGGATCCCGAAGGTCATTGCTTCGATACCCGGGGTATGAGCTGCTGAGGAGTCATATACTAGAACGAAACGGCTACTCAGTGCTCTCAAGTTTCCAATGTTCCTTCAACTGATGTCAGTCCCTGATGAATACCAACTTGAAAAATTCCATTTTAATTTGCTCATTATCAGGTGCATCACACTGTGAAATAATATTACTTACTACATAAGTTTGAGGCACAACTCATTGTCCATAGTCAATCAAGGTAACTTCACAACTTTAGGGCGTAGTCAGTTTCTTTGAATTCTCTTTCCTTCTTTGTAAGATAGGCGGTAGAACTGTTTATATATCTGAAATAGGTGCTGAATCTTTCCTTTTGCCTGTATTTAGCGTTTGTTCAATGATCTAGCTAGTTTTTTGTCCTAAGACAGCTTAATTAACTCTTTTGGACTATTTTACCTACGTATCTGACCCCACAAAGAATCACTGCAATGGCTTTGGCAAAACGAATTATGTTACTCGGTGAGATTCAGAGGGTCTTTCAACCTTCAAATTTCGATCTAAAGTATTCGTA